TAAACCAAGTTACTCGCTGAGAGTAACGCCGCACTGAAAGTGATTTTCTGTCACAATATTTTTAGCCTCTTTTTGTACACATAATAATAATATTTTAATAATGACCCTATCTAGGTCAGCTGCGGCTTACTGATCGTGGTAATTCCTATCAGTCTGCATTAAAGTCCAGAACACCAACAACACTGGATCCTGTGGTTTCACGGTTGGGCATTGACACTAAACAAGAAAAGCCAAGTCTTTTAGCACGTGGCCCTCACTGTGGAGGTGGGGACCCAAGTAGCATGACCAAAGGTAAAACCTTTAACCTATGTTTTCCTACTCAACTTTATAGTGATCATACAGGCTGCTGTGCTTTGTTTATAATTTAGAATGTCTCTTATTTCCTGTAAAAAAAAAAAAAGTGGGTTCTGGTCAATTTGAATCCAGTTAATTGTTTTCTTCAGAACGGCCTGCAGAAAATGTCAAAGTGGGTTCTGGTCATCCTTCTATAATGAAAAAAAGAGGCTATGAACAGACAAATGGCATGGATTCTGGTACGTTTACTTTGCTTACCATCTGCTTCAATTTCTAATGAGTTATATATTTTTAAAAAATATAGAAGTAGTTATTTTAAATCATGACTTTGTATATTAAAACAGCTCCTTTAGCAAAGAGGCCAAACATGGGAGTTATAAGGCAAGCCGGAGCAGCTATTAAAACTCCTGGAGTCACTGTAAGTTTTCTTTTTATATACACACTTATAATATACCAATATTTTTGTATTGATTTCTTGATTCTATATTATTTATGGAAGTGTAATTATTTTTTCTACACGTGGAAGCTTTTTTTGTGTTTGTGTGTACAATCAATTGCTTGGAAATGTATTTCTCACCTGGCTTTTCTTTTTGTATTACTATTTATATTCTACTTACTTTTGCATGTCATAAATGATCGTTTTTTTTTTTTTTTTGCTTTGTGATGTCAACTAATCATTTTAAATTAATTTTTTTTTATTTGACCTGAGAGCAAGAATGTACTACTGTGTAGATATAATAAAATGAGTTTAGTGTGGTCACTCTTCTTATATGTCTGTTATGTTACTAAGTGATAGTGAAATTTAAATGCCAAGTTATAGATGTCTTAGTAAAACAGAAAATCATATCTGATCATACATTTTTTCCAGGACATGCTTGCTCTCAAAGACTAATATTCCCATGAAACATCTTTTATAGACACTATTCAGTTTGAATTTAGTTATGTATTTTTGGTCTTCCTCATAATTTGTTTAGATGGGTGAATGATTATGTTTTGCTTTGATCCTACATGACAGTCAAGAACTCTTTGATCCAAGGCTTGTTTCTCCTATGTATTATTAATGCTCTGTCCCACTTTAGTGTTGCCAGTATCTATTGCTTTGCTCTACTCACCTCATACATGTTAATTGGATTTCACCTCATTAAAACTGGATAGTTGACTTCTTAATAATTGTTTAGTATTAGAGTCTGCACCTATTTAAAAATGAAACTGTATTGAAACTTACTAAAAGTTATTTAAAAAAATGTAGATTGCTTGTAATTTTTCCCTGGAAAATATATTTCTTTCTCTTATGTAAGTCTAAAAGTTAATAAAAGCCTTTGTTTCTTTGGAAAAAAAAACATTTTTAAAGCATTTGAACTTGCTAATAAAGTAATAAATATGCATAAAGTATACAGTAAAACAGGCGTAGAGTGGCTAATTTAGGCAAACACACAGCTTTTTGTTGCTGAGCTGTAAGCTTTTTAGCAGACTGCCAAGGAAAATAGAGTGCTACTCTCACAAAACACACACACAGTAAAACAATAATGGATTTCAGAAAAGTGACCGCTTTGCTGCTTCGACTTCTTTTTCACTAGAGAGTGAGAGTAAAAAAAAAATTAAAAGTTCAAAGAATATTTTCAAAATTTTTTAACCTTAGCCTGTAACTGAATAATAGTCCCAAGAATTGTTTTCAAATTATTATTTGTTTGACTTTGTAGAACATTATTGGTACAGTAGATGGATTTTGTTGTCTTGTGAGTAGATTTGTACTAGTTGCATGCTTCGTATTAGGTATAATTCAATGAAATTAATATTTATCTGTTTTTATCACCGTATAGCGGGTAAGCTCTTCACAGTTAACAGTAAAATAGTTGAACTTTGATTCATATTTCAGAAATTTAGATAGTTTAAAAAAATCAAACAGTACTAAATTCAACTTAGACTTATTGAAGTAAGACATGTTTTACTAGCTGCCACAACATGCGCAACAGTCACAGCTTTAATGCCAAATTTTATTTCTATTTTTTGCTCTCACACAATGGCCACATATGCACCTAACATTTTAATTTGAACTTTGTTTTGGTACTTATGGAATTTTCCCTTGCTCTCACTTTTTTTTGAACTATGATATTGGCAGTATTTATAATGTGCAATTTTTCAATAAATTTTTTGTCTAGTAATGCACTTGATTTGTAAAAGTCATGTATTTATTATTTATGTAGCAAGTTGAGTTACAGCTCTAAGAAGTGCCAACTAATAATTGAATGATATTGAAATGTAATGATAACGAGTATTAGAATGAATAAAAAAGATACTTACATGTAGACATTATCTGCTGTGGCTTACTGGCTTTTTTATAGGGCAGAATTCTATTACCACAATAACTTGCAATGGCTAACTTGTATCAACATTTTTTTTTATAAAGCATCATTTTCTTGCCATGACTTTGAATTAACAAGGAGCAATTTATTTTTTCCTTTTTTTTTTTTACTGCAGTTTTTTTGCCACTAACTTAAGATATAAAATTTTTTGAAAGACATTACTTAGTAAACATTTAGTTTCTATTTGAAAAGGGTTAGTGTTAACATTATAAGTCACAATCAGTGGGGGTGAAGTGCCGCTATACGGTGTTTTATTGCAGCGAGGCAGTGTTTTGAATCACAACAGCATCAATGGCCGTAGTCGATTTGCTGGACGCAATATGAAGATGCATATGGTTAGCTGGATGGATATGCCTGATGATGTATATTTTGTTGCCACAATGGCAACAAGGTGAGTGCTTCATAGGAACTACATGATTTGTACAATAATGTGTTAAAGCAGTACTATTGGTCATTTAGTTTGTACTCACTGCTGTTAAACTGATGTCTTAGTTTAAATTTCTACCTTAACACACTGTCTGTATTATTCTTTAGGAAAATTCGTAAGCAACTCCAGATGAATGACTTCAAGCGTCTAGCACGTAACCCATGGAAGAGTCTGAATGTGAAACCACCATTGCCTTCAGGGTCCTTTGGTAATGGACATAGAGTAGGACAACAGGAAATTGTTGTCTTGGATTGAGAAAGCTAAATGTATTGCATGTCCTAAAGTAAGATAACCATTCATTCTAGCATTTTTTCCAAAGATACTGCAAACACCTCAAGAGTATTTAGATTATATTTAATGTAACCAATTATTGTAATAGCCTTTGTTAAATTAATGGATTGCAGCTTATGATTTGTGAAGATTTTTAATTTGATTAGAGCTAGAATACACAGCAATTTTGCAGTAACATTTTAGATAATTTTGTCAGGAGCATAACCTTTAAAAAAATGTTGAATAAACAATCCAGAAATAACATTATAAATGTTCATTTCAGATAATTAGCCACATTCACAAACTGGACTTGATTAATTAAATCTGACCCTAGGAAAAAGTTTTGGTGCTTCTAAGAGAAGTAGCAACAAATCAAGTTCTCTTGCTCCAGTGCTGGATTTATGGGGAGTGACCTTGACACTAAGACTATACATAGACCAAATATTGGCTTTCCTATTATATGTACATAGCATTGCAATGTTGTGGACTTTGTCTTACCACTTGTTTCTCCTAGGAGTGCAGAAGTGCGTGATGACTCTCTCATGAGACCTAGTTCACTTCCTAAATCTTGTGACGTAAAGGCTTACATTAGAAGACAGGAATTGGAACTCTCCTTTTTGTTGTATTCACTAGGAAATATGTGTGCACTGTAAGTCATGTGTATGTGACTAGATTAAATGTTTGTAAGGAAGCTCATTATATGCTAAATAGTACACAGGTTTAGATGACTGCTTGGACATTATGCTCATCTATAACATCTGTCAATTTGTCAGTTATTGTGCCAAGGATCATTGTAAATATTCATTGGTTTTAACTATTGTCAAAAAAAAAAAGTGACAAAACATGAAAGAAACTTTGTGAACATTGTGCCTGGACATCTTTCCTCAGATTTGTAAGCCTCATACTTCTCAGTCCAAACTCATAACATGTTCCACATCAACTTACACTCTTCATCCTTCAGCTCTAACAGTTTTGTTGAGGTCATAAATAGTTGCTATTGATCAACTTCAGCTTTTTCTTCATTTTATTCTTTATGAATGAACTCATTTGTAGACTTTGTCTTTCTAGTCCCTAGAAGTATTGTGTAGATTGTCTCCTATTCAGTTGTAGAATGTAATGAAAACTATTAAAGCATTGGTCAAACAAAAAGCCTTGACAAAAACACTTTTTATTTAATTTTTTTAAACCTATAAACACAATATTCTATGCTTTATTGAAATTAATTTTGTCTCTATAGTAGAACATCTTTACAACATCTGTCACATTTATGACACTGTTCCATTTTATCGCATTTTGTCTCACTTTGAAAAACAGCATTAGAATTGAAAGCCAATAGAAAAATTATTAAAGTCATTGCAGTACATTAAGGTTTCTGTTGGGCACTGCCTAAATCTCATTTTCAGTCAGCCGCTGAAATTCTTAGGGCTAAAAGAAAAATGTTCACTGCACCACCTGATGATTTGGGTATGTCTATAGATGCTACAAAAGCAGAATCAACTTCTTTGCTTTATTTGACTGTTCCTCAAAATCTTCACCATTGACTTTAGTCCACCCTTAGCATAATCCTACAATTTGTGATGCTTTAACTTGTTCAGATCTGCAGAAATAATGCCAAGTCCATCAGCATTATGTGCATCTTGACATTTATGTCATTAGGATGGAATGGTTGTCAAAGTTTGTGTGACACAACATATAAGTAGACACACGATTGGACATCAACTGGTTAGAGCAAAATAAATAAGGGAACTATATTCATGAAAATAATTTTAATCATTAGAATTGGGTTACCATGTAAGTCTGATTACAGACTTAATGTACTGATGTTCTACCATAGTTGAAAACTTGTATTAAATTAAAAACTGCCTTTTTATTTTAGGTAACATTAATAGTTTTTCCTTTGTTAGTAGGCAGTCATCAGTATTTGTCAGTCTTCCATTAATGTTGGATTTTTATGTAAGTTTTTCTATTATTGTAACAATCCTAAATTTTGAATACAATGACCATTGAAAATTTCCTAGCAGGTTTCAAATGAATGCTATCCAATGTATGTTTTTTTTTTTTTTATTTTCTAATTGGACCACTATTGCCTTTGATATGTAGACATTTGGCAATGGTGAACCCTCTACACACACATTGCTCAATACAATTTCTTTTGTCTCCTTCACGACTCCCAACAGTTTTGCAGCTTTAGACAGGTTATAGGGTGGCTAGTTGGAATATGTTGAAATCATTGTTGGTTGTTGTGTTAATGACTAATATGCAAATAATGTACAATAAAAGAATGAATGGCATTATGGTTGATCATTCACATGATTATGGTGGGAATACATAGCCTACATCAGGCATGACTAATTGTATCAGTTATTTGCATTCATTATGTAACTGTAACATGAGTGCTAGAGGAGTTTGTGGCAGCTGTATTACATATATAATGTGTTGTTTGTAATGATTGCCTTGACCATTTAGGGAATCAGTACATTATCATTAAAGTGAACATTGATTTGTTGAATTATCAATTTCTATTATTACAAAACTTCAAAAGCATTTCAGGCTTTTTTTTTTTTTTCTCCAAAAAGTCATGTAAAACAAAGTAATTCTAAGCTTAAGAAATACTTTAATAAGTTTCAACAATTCAGTTGTAACATTTACAAGAAATTGTTTCAGTGAAAGAATTTTCTTGACCTTTCTCTGTCCTGGTTATATATATATATATATATATGTGTGTGTGTACACACAATTATTTTTGTTGCATTCCTCTGTATGTTTTGTCAACAATGTAACTTGCACCTGTATTGTCTAAATTTTATCTGAATGGTTATAATGGTTGATCATCTTTATATTTTTTTCAAATTTGTTTTATTCTGATGTTGAAAGGTTGGTTTGTTCCATCTGACTTTGTGTATAGGTTATCTCATCGTGGGTTCTCTACCGAAATGTTATCATCTTAATTTATTTTACTTTATACTATGATGAATGTCATGCTGAACTTTTTTTTTTTTTTTATTTGTGTATTTCAATAAAACTATTTTCAACTGTTTGTAAGGAATGAATTAAACATTTATAATTCTACTTGAAATGTTTGGAGTTCAGCTTGAACTGTTTGCATGAGATCCTGGGTGGGCTTGTAGGCTGGAAGTAGATTGTTGCTGAGCTCTGGCTCTGATCTGCTGACGTTGAATGTTATCATCATAAGATTTCACTGTAACACTAGTGCAAGGACCTGTGTTCCAGAACACTCCATTCTCATCAATTACACCCGCCTCTACCTGAAAAAAACAACAAAACAATCATTGAACACATGATGAACACAAGGGTATGATTGAGCACAATCATCATAGATGACCTGAACATCAACCTGCAATGTCAAAGGTCAGTGTTGAGGGCTACTATAATGATTGGACTTGATATGAAGGACCTCAATTTACAATTGTAACAGTTTAACAATGAAAACAAATATTAATTCTTCAAATATTAAAATTTTGAGATTTGTATCACTGATGAATTGAGTCTTGCATGTGAAAACTCAATGACTTTTTCTTTGTAGCTTTCACATATACCGGTAGCTTTAAAAAAAAAAAAGTTAAAATATGATAGTTCTTAAGATTGAATGAACAAACTGAATTAAAGCAGCAAAGCTATGTATTCTACATTATTTTTTCATGCATCCTGATCAGTGTACAGGACCTAGAAAATGTAAATGTATAGTCTGTCCGCTTAGAAATGGAAAAGAAATTTGGACAAAACCAGAATGTAATGTGGAATAACTTTATCCAACTTTTATTTTAATGTAGATTTTGCCTACTAAATCAACAGAGGTCCCAGTAGCCTGAATGTTAAAAGCAATTATTTAAAATTGCAAGTTGTAATTTCCAATTTAAGTACCCGTCTCGTTGAAGAAAAGTGCAGATGGCAAAATGAATGTAGCAGATAACTATTATATTTGCAAAGTTGTATTTCACAGTAAGATCCTCATCACAAATTTTCCTACGTTAAATCTGCTCTTTGTTTACATTTGGATTTGCTTTAGAACTACATTCTTTAATATACCAAAAGAGATTTTAAAAAAAAAAGTGTGAAGGCAATAAAATAGAATATAATGGGAAATGAAAAGATGAAGAGATAAAAACCACTAAAAAAAATAATATCTAGGACAACATGGAGGTGCAGTGGCTGAGTGATAAAGAGCTTGGCTGCCATACCAAGGGTCCTGGAATTGAATTGGAGAAGACGGGATTTTAATTTCGATGTTTCTTGAGTCCACCCAACTCTAATAGGTATTTAACATTAGTTTTGGGAAAAGTAAAAGGTGTTGGTCATTGTTCTGGCCACATGACACCCTCATTAACTGTGGAAGAGATGAACTTTACATCATCTGCCCTGTAGATAGCATGTTCTGAAAGGGGAACTTTACTTTTTTTTTAGGACACCATATTGAAAGATTGCTGTTGCCAACTAAATACATTAATAAAAAATTAATTTTTACTACATATTGAAGAAATTTGATTCTGCTGTACCAGTACTTAAAAAAAAAAAAGCTTTTCAATAGTTGTGAATACACAAAAGACTATTAATGAGGATTTGAGCCTCCCAAGTCCTCGATCACATGAAATGTGCAGATAATTATTATTATGAAAGTTGTTGCCCATAGCCATGATTCTCCAAAATAATGTAAATGATAATATGTATACAGGTATCAATGATTTATAATTACCTAGCCCAACATCACATCGTGTGTGTGTGTGTGTGTGTGTATACCCCAGTGCAGTATACATATTTTTTTTAAAATCAATTTTGTTTCTGATGATGTGCATAGTTTAAGCATTAAACATTAAAAAAAAATATGTAGCAGCCACATTTTAAAATGATAAAACTACTATGAACCTACCCCAATTGACTTGTACAATGATAGGGAAGTCCATATGTAGAAGTAAAATGAAAGCTTATTGACAACACCCTATGAATACAATTACCTTAGCTACATGGATACCTAGGACTGAAAATGGTAGTACAAAGCTTGTACTGAAGTAATCATTATGAGGCTGGACAGTTTGAGTCAAATGAACACTAACACTTTCATTCACCTGGAATACAAAGAGTGATGTTTGGGAAACAGGTCACTTCATTCTAGCATCTTGAGTCTGAATTGGACTCCATCAATGTACCGGTAGTAAAACAATAAATATAATTATTCTAACTACTATGGATCGATATCATGTAAATAGGATAAGCATTATATCTTAGAGCTGCATATGTAGATAAAGTACAATGACAAAAACATTAATACAGACATTTTTATCCTCCAAACATATTCAACTGCTTTATAAAAGCTGTAAATTACATTTGCACACATCAAGGTTGTTAATTCATGTTTATGTATGTAAATCAATAGAACTATAAACTACAAGTACTATTTAATGATTAACATTAATTTGAGTAAAAATACTGGTACTTCAAATGATATTAATTTTTTCTCCCCTACTTTTGTTAAAAAATCTAACTTGAGCCAAGTCTATAAAAGTTTATAATTACCTTGATATTGGTGCTAGGTACAGTGCTCCTACTGATGAGGGCTGTTGTTACGGAAATAATGACAGAGCTGACTTTCCTGAAGAGGGCTGGACGCTCTCCACGCTGCACTACACCTTCGACCTTCAAAGACAGATGTGTGTCTGCTCTGAGTAGAATAGGTTCTTGGTTGGCACTTTGTTGGGGTGATACAGCTAGCTGCAGAGCAAACCAGAAAATGTTAGATTAAATGTGTAAGAACTGCAGGGCCTTATTATGAATGCTTCATTGATATGTAATACAAAGGCAGAACTACCAGTATATGGTGAATTTTAATTAGATCCCATACTGCTAAGTTGAAGAAAACTGTCATTTGTCATTACAGAGAAGTTCATAGGAACCTAATTCACCAAGCCTTGGTAGTGTGCTTTTTCAAATGCCATTTGTATTTGCATCAATATAGTTTGCTATGGTAATAATGCTGAAGTGAACAACTGTGGTCAAACTGAATTTCCATTTTTTGGACCAATTAAGTACCATAATCATATCTCATCTTATATTAAATTGGTAAAATTGGGTTCTCAATAGAGTTTTTGACTGCACAAACCAACAACATCTTTTCCCTATGGAAAGGGAAAAAGGAGGAGGAGGGAGGTCAACACTAATTGATATATTATACCACTAAATTAAAAAAAAAACTTGTATACCTTAACAACTGTATTTTGTAGAGTCTGGAAAAAAAATCTGGGAAAACTTGGTGAAGCATGAACAAATCCAGCTACAGACCATGATAATATATCCATCAGCTGTAGGATGCAATGAGATTATTTACTTTCCCACAAACAATTAGAAACATTATTTAAGATTAAATTTTTCTTCCTTTGTTCATCATTCAATGTTTACCTTGTATGAAATGATAGCAGAAGAATCTGTATCAGGTAAAAGTTTATCCAAAGCACTGGAGATTTCTTGCATGACATTCAAAGTGCCACTGGTGCTGGACATTGAAAGAGATGATGTGCTGTTTTTTTTACTGGTTAGAAATTGTCTTTCCCCAAGGTTACTTTGTCTTTAGGTAGAAATGTAAAAAGCAAAAATAACATAGATTAAAATAGGGAAACAAATTATTGAGTTACAATCAAATATGACATTAAGATATTTAGCTGAATAAAAATTTGTTTCAATGTATTTATCTGGACAACAAAATTATTCAGCTCAGTGGTTGACTTCTGAATGGTTTTACAATCATCACTAGAGCTGAGAATGTGTTAAAAAGAGTTGACATGTGTTGATATGAAACAGATAGAAATGTACAGATGTGATGAGTGTATAGACCATGACAAGATACCTGGTATATATTTAAAAAAAACACACACATACTGGAATTTTATATTTAATGATATTTAAAATCATAACCTTTTAATGTTTTCAGCTTTAATTAACATACCAGTAATTGATTAGCAGTATTTTTTTATTTCTAAAAAAAAAATACTTGACTTATATGTAACAAAATGCAATGCAATTACCCTGTTTGAATGGTGGAGATGATTGTTGAAATAACAGACTTCATACAATTACAGCATTGCTGAATCCTTTTGATAGTTAAGGAAAACAAAACAAGACATTACAACAAGCCTTCTATCATGCCTGTTGCTATTAGAAGCCAAA